TGTGTGTGTGTGTGTGTGTGTGTGTGTATGTATTTGTGCTTGTCTGAGTTCTAAGAATTCTTAACTGACATACTACCAAATACTGATAAAGTCATAATAATGGGTGATTTCAATATTCATGTAAAGGTTGAAAGTGATAGCTCAAGCATAGCCTTTAAAAACTTGAGTCAACTGGTTTTACCCAAAACGTCCAAACCTACTCACTCTCATCATCATACCTTTGACCTGGTTCTGACCTATGGCATCAAGATTAATAACAGTCATATTTCCTCAAAGTCCTGTTGTGTCTGACCATTTTTTAATTACCTTTGAGTTTACATTAGATTACTACACAGTCACTGAGAGTAAATTTCAACTTAGCAGGTGTTTATCTGAAAACGCTGTAAGCAAATTTAAATCGTTTTCCTCTGTCTTGCAGAGTAATACATCAGTGAGCAGTAACTTAGATCATTTAGTTGATAATTTTATAACTACTTTGCAAGCTTCACTTGACAAAGCTGCTCCACTGAAAAATAAAGTAATCAATCAGAGGAGATTAGCTCTTTGGTTCAATTCTGAGTTACATACTTTATAACAGACATCTAGAAAGCTAGAAAGAAAATGGCGCTCCACTAACATTGAGGAGAGATAACCTGCTAATGTACAAAAAAGTACTCCGTAAAGTTAGAACTTTATATTATTCATTTTTAATTGATGAAAATAAAAATAACCCCAGGTTCCTTTTCAGTACTATAGCTAGTCTAATGAAAAATCCTATCTCTATTGGCTCATGTATCCCTACAACTATAAGCAGTGATGACTTCATAAGATTCTTTATAAATAAAATTGTTTTAATTAGGGAAAAAAAATCAAACCAACATTCCCAGTATCACCTCTGGTTCCGTGTCAGATGAGACAACTTTAAAAATGTCATTAGAACCTGATTTATGTTTGGACTGTTTTTGTCCTGTTGAGCTCTCTGAATTGTTAAAAATAATAGCTTCATCCAAACCATCCACATGCCTGCTAGATCTCATCCCAACCAGGCTATTTAAAGGTGTATTTCCCTTAATTAATAACCACGTCTTGGATCTGCTTAATTTGTCTCTAATAAACGGTTACGTGCCACAGAGCTTTAAGGTTGCTGTAATTAAACTTTTACTTAAGAAACATAACCTTGACTCAGGAATCCTAGCCAATTATAGACCTATATCTAATCTAACTTTCATCTCAAAAATTCTAGAGAAAATAGTTGCAGGTCTGTTACGTGATCATCTGCAAAGAAATAATCTGTTTGAAGAGTTTCAGTCAGGGTTTAGAGCTCATCATAACACAGAAACAGCACTTGCAAAATTTCTAATGATATTCTCATGGCCTCTGACAATGGACAGGTGTCTATACTGGTCCTGTTAGACCTCAATGCTGCATCTGATACAGTTGATCACAATATTTTACTACAGAGGCTTGAATATGATATTGGGATTACAGGAACGGCTCTAAAATGGTTTAAATCATATCTATCTGATAGATTCCAATTTGTAAATGTAAATAATAAATCTTCATCATACACCGTAGTTAGACATGGAGTTCCTCAAGATTTAGTGCTTGGACCAATACTCTTTACCTTATATATGCTTCCATTAGGTAAAATTATTAAACAGCATGGGATACATTTTCATTGTTATGCTGATGACACAGTTATATTTGTCCATGAAACCCAATGAATCCAATCAGCTACTTAGACTACAAGCATGTCTTAAAGACATAAAAACCTGGATGACCCTTAATTTTCTTTTGTTGAACACAGACAAGACTGAGGTTTTGGTTTTTTGACCTGAACAACTTAGAAATACATTTCTCAGTCTTTCGCCATCCTTGGATGGCATTAATCTGTCCTCCAGCTCTAATGTTAAAAATCTTGGTGTTATTTTTGATCAGGATGACTTTTATCCATCCATCTATTATCTTTACCTGCTTCTTCCATTATGGGTCACGGGGGTCGCCGGTGCCCATGACCAGCAATCACTGTGCGAGGGGCGGGGTACACCCTGGACAGGTCTCCAGTCCATCACAGGGACACATAGAGACAAATGAGACAAACAACCATTCACTCTCCCACTCACACCTAAGGACAATTTGAGAGTTACCAATCAACCTAATATGCATGTTTTTGGTCTGAGGGAGGAAATTGGTATACTCGGAGAAAACCCACGCATGCACGGAGAGAACATGCACACTCCACCCAGAAAGGCCCACAGACCGGCATTTGAACTGGCAACCTTCACACTGAGAGGCAACAGCTCTACCAGTTGCGCCACCGTGCTATATCTTTTATCCACCACATTAAAAAAACGTTACTAGAACTGTCTTCTTCCACCTGCGTAATATCACTAAAATTAGAAACATCTTATCTAAAAATTATGCAGAAAAACTGGTCCATGCATTTGTCACGTCTAGACTGGACTATTGCAATGGTTTATTATCTGGGTGTCCAAATACTTTTTTAAAACGTCTTCAGTTGATACAAAATGCTGCTGCCAGAGTCTAAACTGGAGTTAGTAGGAGATATCATATTTCTCCAGTTTTAACTTCTCTCCACTGGCTCCCTGTGAAGTCCAGAGCTGAATTCAAAAATCTTATTTCTAACCTACAAAGCTCTCAACAACCTAGCTCCATCTTATAGTTGAGATATTATTGTTTCATATTTTCCTAACAGAGCTCTTCGTTCTCAGAATGCAGGCTTACTCGTGGTTCCTACAGTTTCCAAAAGCAGAATGGGAGGAAGATCTTTCAGTTATCAGGCTCCTCTCTTGTGGAACCAACTTCCAGTTTCTGTCCGTGAGGCTGACACATTGTCCAGTTTTAAGACTTTCCTTTTTGATAAATCCTATAGTTAGAGTCAGCTTGTTATGCTGCTATAGGCTTAGACTACTGAAGGACAAATTGACCTCATTTCCTTAAATGAATTGTTAAAATTGAATAGTTTTCATTTTATACTATTTCTATCTTAACATGTGATTCTTGACCTGCTATTGTGTATCTGTTCCTCCTTCCTGTTCCTACAAAATCCAGCTGGTCGAAGCAGAGGACCGCTTGTCCTGAGCCTGGTTCTGCTAAAGGTTTCTTCCTCATGAGGGAGTTTTTCCTTTCCACTGTCTCCTTCATGCTTGCTCAAGATGAGAGTTCTGTGATGGAGTTAAACTCAAATCAGTCTGCTCCTCAGATAAATAATGTTAAATTATTATTTTTCTATATGAATGTTTCTGTTCAATGCCCTGAGTTGACTTCTATTGTGACTTGGCGCTATATGAATAAACTGAATTGAATATACAAATATACATATACAATGTGTCTGTGTATATATATATATATATATATATATACACACTGTATGGCTGTTTGGCCTTTAGCTGCAACAAAGACGTTTCACAGATTCAGGAAAAATGAACTTGTTTTAACACGTTAGAAAGTCTATGCTGAATGTCTGTAAAATATTTAAACTTAGTAAAAGAACAAAAACGTGTATAATTACTCTTTAACTCACATGTGATGATTTGTCATCTAAAATATATTTGTGCTTTAGCTGATGAGTAGTTGTGGATCAGCTAATGCCCATCTCAAACTTGAACTCCCTCGTCAGCGCTTTAATCCAGCCAGAATTATCAGTGTAATTAGAGACACGGGCTGACTCTGGCTTCCTCAATAAGTCGGCTAATGAGCTGATTTTCTGTGGCGATGCCTGGAGGGTGGGGGCAGCGGTCACTCAGCCTGTATTGTTTTCACTCATTAGATGCATTGTGGAGGCTGAGTCTTGTTTAATCACAGGATGTTGTCCCAGTTTGAGATTCTATATGTTGTAATCCAGTTGTTACTCAGGTCGCCCAGAGGACAGGACCTGCTCTTGTTAGAAAAAGAGATATCTTCTACAGTTTCTCAGATTGGAGGGGAATGGAGCACATTCCAGGCTGGATTAGTGAGCAGCTGAACCAAACTCCCCTCCTGAGCCCTCATTAAAATCTCCCAAAGATGTTGAGCTAACTTGACAAATTCAGGCGGGCACAGAAAACACGAGCCTCCACCAGATCCTACAGTACATGTATGTGTACATGAGCTTGGAGTAGTGAAGTGTAAAGTGATAAAGTGCATCTTTGCATGTCTCCTGGGCATCCCAGGATGTTCAGAAGATCAATGTGACTTACTGCCTCTCCTGTGGGTCCGTCTTTACCAGCAAGACCATCAGGACCAGTCAAACCCTGAGGATGAAGAACGACACTTTTATTTCTCTATTTTTATTTTAAATACTGGTAATGCCAAATTCTTGTCAGTTCCACGGCATCAGATACATGTAGTTTTGAGGCTTTACAGTCACAAGCAGATAAAAACAAAGTTGATGTGTTGCTGTTAGCATCAGTACCAACTGTGTGGACTCTTACATCGATCCCTGGAAGTCCCGGCAGGCCCAGTTTTCCTGCAGCTCCTGGGATTCCTGCTTTTCCTTTGGGACCCTACAAAGATCCAACAGAGCTTTCTAAACTTATATTCCAACTTCACTAACAAAAGATTTATACATTGGTCTACGTGCATTCACTCTGGAGACATCAAATGTACACAAACAAGCACATGTAGGGACTTCGAGTGTGTGTCTGACTAATCTCCAGTCCATATTTTTCTGAAGCTTCCAAACTGTTTTTCTTGCTTAAATCCTAAACATTTCTGTGGCAGACATTTTGCATTACACAGATCTACCAAAAGACAACTTTTCTTTGCACTGTGGCACAAATTAAACTCTGTGGTATGCAAACTATCACGGTTTTATTCATGTGCACAGACATAAATGTAAGAACAAAAAAGGCCCCAAACGTGGCACTTTAGTTCAACTTGTTTTTGAAAATAAGCCCATGATGAGCCTATTAATATATTTGTATGTTTTTAGAAAGAAAATATGAAGTTTAACCTTTATCTAAATTAAAAGGGCAGCGCCCCCCACGAGGCCGCGGCCTCAGACACCTCCGTCTCCCCATGTCTGTTTGTTTGTGTTTTACTTGGACGGGCTGTACTGAAATGTAATTTCGTCGTGCTTCAGTGCAATGACAATAAAGCGGATTCCGCTTCTGATTCATCGTCATTAAACTTTTCACACAAATCAGACTTTCTTTGAATTGTTGGTATACTTACAGGTTTTCCCGGCAGTCCAGCAGGTCCAGGTTTCCCCTGTTAATAAAAGAAAAATAAGCACATATTTATTTTTTTAAATTATATCCTGGCTACTTGTTTTTACATCTTAAAAGCATTCAACCAATTTAAGAGACTAAAAAGTTTGACTGGTTCAGATGGGGTCAGCTGCTTCCTTCTGCACAAGAGGAAGAATAAACACCATCAAACCAAACCAGTGCAGACTGCTCACATGATAAACACCTCCGTTTGGTTAGTCTAGAACTGGGGGGGGCTGCAGGAGCAGGGAGGAGGTGGCAGCTGAAACTTTAGATGGTCTCACGGGGTTGGGGAATGTATGAATGGGTCGTCTGTGCTTCACCAGAGCCACAGAGACGTTCAGAGCTAAAATGATTAGAAGTTTTCTCGACATGAATAAAAACCTTGTTAAGATTTGACTACATTAACTCGAGTTTTTCTTTTTACCTAGTCTAATTTTAATGTCTATTCAAAGAATGCACAAATAAAAGCCTAAAATGTAAAATATCCTTTTTTTTTTTTTTTTTTACTAAACACATTGAAATAATAAACCCTGTGATATCACAGGAATTAAAATGAAATGGTAAATGGACTGTACTTATACAGCACCTTTCTATCTAGGCAAGGTACTCAAAGTGCTTTACACTAATCCAGTGCTATTCAACTGGAGGCCCGGGGGCCAAATCAGGCCCACAGGTGAGCTCAGTTTGGCCCATGAATGGGTTCATTTTTAAATTAAACTAGATTTTTAACCATAAAACAAACTTACTTAATGATAATAACTACTGATATATAGCCCCTGAGCTCATGGCTTTCAGTAACTGTGGTTCTCTGAGCAGTTTCACTCAATAGTCCTGCACTAATCTGTGTCTTCATTTACTCATCCACACAGCCCTCTGTGGCTTTACAAAGCTAATCTGAATCTGTAGAGACTAATCAGTGCCTTATCACATTCATACACTGATTGGACACACAGCAGAGGCAATGGGGGGTTCAGTGTCTTGCTGAGACACTTCAACATGTGGCTGCTGGTGGAATCGAACCCCCAACTCTTCCATTGGAGGGCGACTGCTCTAACCAGTCAGCCATAACTGCCCCAAATGAAGTGCCAAAGGAGACGTTGCAAATAACTGTTGCAAACAGCAGTGCAAATAGAAAGGTCACACCCATAAACCTGCACACCTTCATCCAATAAATGATCGTTTAGGAGGAGCTGAAGGAGGAGTCATTCATACAATCTGACGTTTAATGACAGTCAGCTCCACTTAGGCAAAAACAAAAACACTGATTTACATTTTAAATACATGAAAACTAGTCAAACCTGAGCTGTTCTGACTTTAGAGGCATGTGCAAAAGACATATGTTACATTTTAAAACCTTTATATATTTATATTGGTAAAACCCCCCACAAAAAAATCTGTTCCTTGTTTTTATCCACCACTGATGACCGACTGTTAAAGCCCCAACAGTCCAGAGATGCTTTCAGGTGCAAACATCCTTAATGGTCAACTCACGTCGGTCCCATCCCTGCCTGGTTGTCCTGGGAGTCCGGGTGGCCCGGGGGGTCCTCTGGGGCCGGGTCTCTGCAACAGAAAAAATAAAAGAATTATTCCCTGGGAAACACAAAGCCCTGCTGAAGGTTTGACATGATGTTGGCATCAAGTGAGTGAAACACCGATAAGAAGAAAAAACTTTAAAACAAGCTCGATGTCACCCAAATTATTCAACACCTTAAAAATCAAACAGAGAATTCAAATAAAAAAAACACTTAAAATGTATTTGAAGATATGACCAGGACTAGATTTGATTTTTATTCCCATTTCTGTTTCTTATCCTTCATGAGATCTTATTTTACTGAGGACTCTCCAGAGGTAAAGACTGAGTTTGGCTGAGCGAACAGAGGCAGCATTGTGTGCGCTGATCTCCAACCAGCACATTCCACAGGTTCAAGGAAAACAGAAGAGCAAAGTGTACCACCACCTGCACACAAGTAGCCTTTTCTGACTGCTCACGTCAGAAAACAACCATTTTCACTTAGACTCTGCACATAAAGCTCAGTTTCAGTGAGGTCAGTGAGAAGAGGCAAAGTTTGAATGGCAGGCCTCGAGTTAAAAGCAACGACTGCCCTCATCATCTCAGAGGTTCTGATTATTGCTGTAAGCTGGGCCTGCTGTTCATATTTCCCCATCACTGCTGGGATGACATGCAGGAGGATGCAGCACCTTGAGCGGCCTTACCTGAGCTGAGGAGGATGACAAAAGCTGGCACAGCAGGAGCACCCAAAGAGCAGAGCACGCCGTCATAGCTCCCTGGTTTTAGGCAGAAACAAAGATGAAATCCCCAGTTCCACGTTCAGTCCTGTCTCACTGCCCCCCCTCCAGCATCCACTTCCTTCGCCTCGCAGCTCGCAGCCCCTGAATGGCTCTCTCTTCACTCCCTGGTCAACTGGTCTCCAGCAGAAGGGGCTGATCTCAGTGGAGCTCTCTGCACAGTGAGGTGAGGGGCTGGTGAGGATGGTGGAGGGGGAGGTTGTATGCAGAGAGGAAACAGTTTGGGACACCAAGAAAGTGGGCAGAGCTAATAGGGATTAAAAAAACTGACCAATTAAAAAGAGACCAAAGATGAAGAAAACTCTCTTTATAGGAACCTTTGAAGGTACAGCTGATATTTGAAGTTAAAAAGATGCTCTTCTCTACTCACAAGAAACAAACTGAATGGAGTCAGGAAAAAAGTCTCAAAATGTATTAGAACCACTATTCCCAGAATGCAGCAAATTCTGAGTAGTAAAACTGTTGTTTATTGTCGAGCTAAAACAGTTGCTAAGGTTTTCCAGCTTTTGCAATCTGCCTTTAACATCATCCAGTCAGATTCGTTCAACCTCAAACTTGTCCTAAACACTGACAAAAACAAAGGAATGCTGTTTTCAAACAGGAAGTCGGTCCCAGCAGTTCTTCCTCTGATTTTATCATCCAATAGTGTCCCTATTGGGTTTGTCGATTCCTATAAATATTTGGGTATCTTGGTCGACTTGCATCTCTCTTTTAAGCTCCATGTGGAAAACCTAGTAAAGAAACTGAAAGTTAAACTGGGTTTCTTTTTCAGAAACAGATCCTGTCTAACTCTGAACGCTAGGAAACACCTTGTATCTGTGACTTTCCTTCCCTCCATTGATTACGGTGACATTATTTACATGAACGCTCCTACAAGAACTCTGCAGATGTTGGATGCTGTATGGTGCACTAAGATTCATAATTGACTACCGTACTCACCACTGCACCCTGTATTTACTGGTTAACTGGTTATCATTAACTTCTTGGTCTGCTGCCTTCATACATCTCCTCCTACATGTCTCTGCGTGAGTGCAGTTACAGCGTGCGCTCTCAGGACATTATTACCTGCAGTGTTCTCTCAGTGAGGACTGAACTAGGCAAAAGGGCCTTCTCCTACTCCGCTCCTGTTTCCTGGAATATCTTACAAAAAGATCTGAAGCTCTCGACCTTGACCTCTCTAAGTGGCTTTAAGAATCTGTTAAGTTCGTGGCAAGAACCAACGCAGACATGTTCCTGTTTTCAGTTTTCTACACCGTCTTATAATCTAGCTGGTTTTCTTTTTTTTTTCTCACTACTTTTTCATTTTGACTGTCCTTTTGGTTGCCATTTTATTTTGTTTAAAAAATAACTTTGTGTACCTCTTTTATGATCGTCTATTGTTGTTGCTGTTGTGGACTGTTGTCACCACTCTGTTAAAACTCAGGTCTCTCTTGTAAAAGAGTCCCTGAGGCTCAGTGGGACTAACCTGTATAAATACAGGTTGAATGAATGAACATGGAGCTTGTTGTTTCTGATAGTTTTAATGAATGAAGAAACTGAAACTTACTTATTTAGATTAGATGTCTGTATTTATTGTTCTGTTGTGTATCTGCACTGTGTTGTTTTTGCACTTAATGTTCTGTGTTGCACCGTGATCCTGGAGGAACGCCGTTTTGTTTCAATATGTGCTTGTACGTACGTAGCTGAAATGACAATAAAACCTCTCTGACTCTAACGTTTGCTGCTTGAGTGCATTTCTGCTATTTGACAAATCTGTTGCCCAACACACACCAGTGTCCATACTAGAGTATCTTGGCAACAAAGAAAAGAAATGGCAAAGTTTAACTAATAAAACTGACAAACATGGGCTCAAAAATCTTAAAAACTCCTCCAATCCACATCTCAGTGACAACCTCACTGGTTTTTGGACTGAAGAAATTTCTCCAAGGGTTTCTACTCAGTGCTGCAGCAAAGGAAACAGAGCCCAGCATACGGCACATTATACACCTGTCAACAAACTATGACACAGCAATCTGTAGCAACAGCCCCAACAACAGACCAGACCTATGACCTTGATTTGTGACCTTGACCTTAGAGATGTGGTGATGAAAAGATTAGGCAACATGCTGTCTAGTAGTACAAATGTGTATCTAGTTCCTTTAAATTATCTTGAGCAAATCGACCTTGTTTTAACTTTGACCTTGACCTTAGAAGCGAGGTGAGGAAAAGTGTGACACACAAGCTGCCTAGTGATGATGCACGTGTATGAAGATTTGTTAAATTATCTCGAGGGGAGTGCAGAACGGTGGTTCAGTTGGTAGAGCTGCTGCCTCTCAGCAAGCAGGTCGCCTGTTCAAATCCCGGCTGAGGGCCTTTCTGGGTGGAGTTTGCATGCGCTCTCTGTGCATGTGTGGGTTTTCTCCCACAGGCTAAAAACATGCATGTTAGGCTGATTATTTTTCTTCTTCTTTCAGCTGCTCCCTTCATCAGGGGTCACCACAGTGAACTAACTCGCATGAAGACGTGGCAATCATTTTTACGCCGGATGTCCTTCCTGACAACCACTGAGCTACCGCAGCCCTGTGTGGAGCAGAGAGCTGCTGTCTAGGGCACTCGGGGGAGCAGATGATTGGGGGTTAAGGGCGTTGCTTAAGGACCCAGAGTGGGGCAAATGAGGGTGGAGGCAGGTGTGGGTGCACCAATCACACCTACACTTTTTTAATTTTTTTCAAATGTTGTTGGTACCGGAAGTTGAACCGGCGATCTTCCAATCACAGGCCCACCTTTTCCAACCTCTGCGCCACCACTCCTGCTGCATGTTAGGCTGATTGGCAACTCTAAACTGTCCCTAGGTGTGAAAGTGAATGGTGGTTTGTCTCTCTGTGTCCCTGTGATGGACTGGAGACCTGTCCAGTGTCCCCTGCCTCTCGTACAGTGACTGCTGGATATGGACACCAGTGACACCAGTGACCCAAAAAGGAAGAAGCGGGGAAAGATGGTGGATGTTGAGGGGATGAGAAGTTATGAGGGGGAAAAGAGAAAGTTTACAGACATCTGTACGAACACTGGACCAGAATACGCCGGCCTTTCGACAGGTGTATAAACACAGTGATCCACCACAGCTCATGTCCATCGCAGGGATTTTAAGAGGAAAATGGCCGCCCATCGTGTCTACTGTAATCCAAGTCCTCCAGGACTAGGTTTGTCTAAAATGGAAGCACTTTCATAAAACAATCAGAAAATAGTACAACTTTATTCTGCTCTAACAGCCAGGTGCAGAGCTGGGAAACAAACTTCTGACCATTTCATCTGGTTTAATACAGAAACTTAAAACAATTACTGGCAAAAATTAAGTGCAAAATATAAAAACAAGATGCATCACCCTGGTTTGTGGATTTTCACGGAACGCACCGTTTTCAAATGAACATACAGAGAAACTAAATTACAGCCAAAGCCTTTTCGTTCCTGCCAAGCACATTGTACAATCAAACAGTCTCGTCACATTTTATTTTTTTGGCAAAGCGTTCAGTTGTTCAGTCTTACTTCCCAAATTTGCATTCGGATCAGTTCCAGACTGAGCAGCATTGTGGAGAAACTTAAATAACATTGGGCCTTATTTTCATTCAATCCGCAGATTCAAGAGAAACAAACCCATCAACACAAAATCTGCACACGGAGTAAAAAAAAAAAACAAAAAAAAAAGTTAATTTCTCAGTGCAAAAAGAAAATAAATCTCCAATGTGGGGACCTTCACCTGATCTGCATCTTAAACTCATTCATGTATTCTGTGGAAATTCACTCTTCATTATAACCAACTTATTATTCAAGTAATAATTTGCATTGTTCCCATTGCCCACAAATCCAGTGAAAACACCAAAACTAGCAATAGGTTTAGCTCAATGACCTTAAAATAAAATTAACATGCGAACTGGAGTTAAATCATATCTTGTTGTTTTGTTTTACTGAGAAGATAAAAAGGAAATTTAAAGCAATATGCAGAAATACCTTAAAGCCTTTTGGTGGCAATGATCTATACAGAACTAGATCATTGAAACGCAGGAATAAATAAGGGATCTGGAAGTTAAAGCCCACCAGGTCCCAGAACAAGTTTTAACTTCACCATGATCGTGTGCTAAACATACAACTTGGTGGCTGCGTTGCCAGATCCTGCGAGAAACGAGCAACCAGGTCCATAAAAACAAGCGACCTAATTTTATCATCTGAGGCCTCAAAACGAAGGATGAATTTATTGATTTAGCATTTCACGCTAAATCCTTTGATTTGTTTACATTTAGATTGAACATTTTTGGCATAATGGTGTCACGGCTGAGATGGATTTGAACCAACTCTAAAAGCCAGTTGGTTGTGGTTTGGAGAGCAAGGGAGGGAACTCATGCACCGAGACGTTCTTGTTTTCTCCAAATCTGTTATTTACGCAAACTAGAAACGAAGCGTTAAAAACGGCTCCACTTTAAAAAGAATTATTAAAATCACCTCGTTTCCAAATGGATTGTTCAAATCTGAACGTATCGCTGCTTCTGGTGTTTGTTAGATTTGTTTGGGAATAAAAAACAAATTACATAATACAACCAAAAAAACATAACCGTACACAAACCACTTTCTGTCCAGTATTTGGTGGACAAATGATTTCATGAGCTTATTTAGGGAGAAAAATCCGTATCTTAACAAATACAATAAAAATAAGGCCTGGAAACTCTTTTAAAGTCATATTCTGTCCTTATGTTACAGAGCTCACAGGCGTTTTCACCAGTCACTCATTATTCATGAACGTGTCAGGTTTTGTTCCGAGCTGGACTCCATTTCATCATCCGACTCCGTCCTGTTCCTCTGTTCATCCACACTTCTGTTGTTTTCCACCCCGTTCGTCCCAGACACCTCCTCCTCCGACGCCTCTTCAGGGTTCGGCTGCTGGCTGAAGTCAGTCCTGGGGATTTTCCCCTCCCTCTCGGAGGACGGAGAGGGCGAGTGTTTAGAAGTCTTGTGTGGAGTTTGCACAGATGGGCTCAGCTGACCCGTGGATTTATCAGCAACAGCTCCCCCCCCCACCTGTCCACTGGCAGAGTGCTCAGCAAGGTGGTCCGTCAGCGCCTCGTCTTCCTCCCTCTTCTTTTTTGGCGGGTTTTCAGTTTGTACGTCGCCGTCGGTCTGCATGACCTCAGCTTCCTGGATGGCGTCCGTCGAGTTGCTGGTGGATTTCTGCTCGTCGGGCTCAGGCTGTGTGGTCGTGTCGGGACTGGGCGACTGATCCATGTCTTGATCGTCATCCGGAGAGTCGTTTCCATTCCTCACGACTTCAACATTAGACTCTGGCTCCACGTTACCGTTTCTGACTGGCTCGTCTTCTGCCTGTGGTCTGGCAGAGTCCGCAGGCTGTTTGCTTTTGTCTTTATTTTTATCGCTTCCTTTCTGAGCCTTGGTGATATTATCTAGTCCCTCCTCCTTATGCTGCAGAGCTGCATCTCCATCTTTGCTCTTCTCTGCCTTTCTAAATTGTTTCTGAACCTTCCTTGGACACCACACAAACTTGTCCTTTGGCTCAAAGTGGAGGTAAGCGAATTTCACGAGCTCCTGACGTTTTTGCCTGTCCAGAACGGCAAACAGGAAGTAGTCGAGCACACTGCGTTTAACACTGCTGAGCGTCTTCTTCACCAGAGTCTCCTCCAGGAAGAAGCGCACAAGTGGGGCTTGATAGTGCTCAAAGCCAAGCTCCCCGAGACTTTTCAGGATGCGAGTGATCCTCAGGTTGTTGTGCATATTCCTGAAAAAGATCAGATGGTTCAAGCAGTAATTACAAACAAAAACAAATAACTTTGATTATTTTTACCTCTCCAGGTTTCCAAAGCGATCTTTCCAGTTTTCTGCACGTTTCACTTCGCCCGTCTCCTTGTTGACCAAACGAATGCCATAAAAGCCCAACATGAGCTCATAGGATTCTACTAGTCTTCTTTTGGCATCTTCATTCTTCTTGAAGGCCTAGCGAACAAAATAAAAACAAAAAACACAAGTATTATTTATGACCCCACAAAGTAATATTGACATGTGAATGAACACACAAAGTCTAATAGATTAGAAATATTTTAACCGTTTGCATCAGAAAACTTTCAAACTTCTGGTGGTTTTTATTTGATCAAAGAATGAGTTACATAAAGATGTTGATTTCTCAACTGTTAATATTTTCTCTGAGGAAGAGTTTTAATTAAATTAAAGGTTGTGTGAGACAATAAAACTCACTTTGTGCTTAAATTTGCAACAAACAGGCCAGCAACATGGCAAGTACATAAGTGTTGGAGTCCATCAGAAAGATGGATGAACTCGGGGAGCATGAACAAAATGTGCACAATGCCCAGATGGTGCAGAGACCAGCCCCCCCACGAGCCATGTTTACTCATAATTAAGGCCAGCCCGTTTTATTCAGATCCGTTTCTGTCGCCATAAAAACTGCTTTGCCAAACTCTTATTTTCTTGAGGTGTTAAAATATTATCAACATTTTATTTTTCGTTTGGGGAGTTTTTGTTGCAACTTTAGAATTTCCACACATAAATGTTAAATATGAAACAAGAGAACAGCATACACCACATTATACTCTCATCGACAAACATTATATATTATATATTACATAGCAATACAAGCATCTATAACAATGGCTCGGACATGCAAAGATCCTGTAGAACCGTTGACCTTGATTTGTGACCTTGACCATGGAAATGGGGGTGACGAAAAGTGTATGCACCACTCCATCTAGTGATGCATGTGTGTATGAAGTAACGCGTGAAGGAAAGCACCAAAAGCAGTTTATCGTTAAAAGACAGTTTTACTTTTACTGGAGAGTAGCTGTATTATTAATTTAACATTATGCAGGTAGTCTCACCGAGACACGAGGACTCATTTTCAACTGTCCTGTTTTCACAGAAAATATGATACACGATCAAAACAATGCAGTGTAATTAAAAAATTAGTCACAAACAGAGAAACTCCTGTCAACACAACACATCTGCAGTGCACTCGCTACATTTACAACACTATTTGTCAAAATAATCTAAATTTACCATCTGGTTATTGATGCTGCTCCTAATTACTGCTCAGCTCATTGATGCTAATGTTGTTAGCTCGTGCTCATTTAAACTTATTAACACAGCACCACTGGTGCAGCAGTTCATTATTCTCTTAAAGCAAGTCACCAGTTTGGCAGTTCAGCACGACAACACACAGCTGAGGGGGCAGGGAGCTTTTTGGTGTTTGAAGACATTACCGTCCACAGTTATTCTCACTGAAATGAGAAAATTTGTTCCAAAAGTGAAGCTGTGATTGCCAAGAAATATAAATACTCAAGCTTAGCTCTCTGGCTTTGATAGTTTTGTAGCATTACTTGCATCCTGCTGAGCTGACTGGCCTCATCACTTTGAAGCACTGAGCTGAGAATCCCATTTATTGTTTCAGAAGATGAGGCACTGCGGTCATAAACCTTTCTGAGCCGAGCTACAACTCATTCCTGCACTGGATCGGTTGGTGACAACTACCTTAGAGCAAAATAAAACCCAAGTATTTGCAAGTCAAATACTGAGAACATCCACATGCGACACTAGCTGAGGAACGGCACCAAGATATGGAAATTTATTACAGGGCTGAGGCTCTCAGCATTTCATGAAAACAAAATTCCCCAGTTTTCCCCGATGTTTCCCAGAGTAAATCCTGAAATTCCAGGAGAGATTTCAGTCACAAGAAACACTCAGAACTCAAGAGTCTTAGGTGGTGGGCAGAGGCACATTCAGAGATGACACTAAAGCCTACAGCTCGTGCAAACAGCAATCATTCCTTACAATTAATTATATTAACATCAGACACTAAAAGGCCACCATGTCCGGTCAGTAACATGTGTTATACAATGTAGAAGCAGAACACGGACTCATCGATACTAGAATTCTAGCATTAGTACATGTACACTTATACATGTACTCAACTCTGACGTCACGTGAGCCCCAGAATGGTAGCACTGACAGGAGTACCACTTCAACTCAATCTTTTTTTGGTTCCTGCTGCTTTGAACTTTTGTTGCACCCACACACCCACGCTCCGGGTTTGACCTCGACACACTTGTGGAGTTTTGTGTGTCATACTGTGAACTTGACCATGCTAAGAGAAACCTCACGGTCATCAGAACCACTCTGCTGATAGGACCATGCTCCTGTAGATGTATTTCTTTTTCACTTTTGGCGCCTTGTTTTTGTATTTTTGTTGCATGCTTTGGTATTTCTTGTTGTTTTTTTGGCGAGTCGAGACGGTTCAACTCGTCCTCAGCATTTCACTGCATTGTTGACCTTGTGTTTATTTTGCATACGACAAATAAACCAAACCTGTACACATTAAAATCTCTGAAAGATCATCTCGTAATCAGCAGATCAGTGTTCAGATTCCCAGAGTTTTTCCTAGTTTTCAATGTTTTCTTCCTCAAATTCTCTGAGTTTTCCTTGTGTGGAAAACGAGTCATTTTCCAGGTTTTCTCTAATTTCCAGAGTCACTGGGAACCCTCTAATATTGTGAGGCAGCATGCTGCATTGAGTACAGGAAATGTTCATAATCAGTCAAATATACTTGCTCATCACCTTTACCCTGAACTGCTTTATTTATTCAAGTACATGTACCACATTTAGCCATCAAATTCAGAATCAGAATTAATTAAACTGAAACACATTTTCACATCCTGTCAAATAAAGAGTTTAAAAGTTAAAGAAACTAAAACTTTGTCTCTGTTTTTACAGCCTTCCAACGTTTTTGTAATAGATTTTAAATTGTTGATGTAATTTATTTTTTAACATTATTTTATTTATAACTTCTATATCAAGATTTATATTTGATACTCTGATGAGAATACACAAAGTAGACAATAATTTAAACAAGCTCCTGCAGCTATTCAAACCTTTAGTCGACTCCTCCCTTTAAGCTTTTTAAAAACAGAATCTCGGCCACAGTGTCAGAAAAACACTCGTGTTCTCATGTACCGGACAGCATTAGTTTGAGCATTGTTACCATTAACAAACTTAACTGACATTAACTGTGTTGATTCATCTTGTGCAAAGAACCACCAAAACCCACAAAGTTTATCTTGATCAAACCAGTTCTGCAAATGTTTTGGCTGTGTGTGTGTGTTGTTCTGTTGGATGCACTCACCTCGATTTCTTTCTTGGTGAGTTCTGAAGCCATATAATTAACCCCTGGTTCTCGCAGTGGAAACAACCTGGTCATGCAAAGAAAAAAAAAAACCCATAAGCCCCAAGTTATTTGTAATTAAACAGCTTTTTATTTCAACGAACATGATGCAATGCTTATAAAGTTATCAAACGTGTCTCTTTACCCGACTGATGCAAGAATGTAGTGAATGTCAGTGAAATTATGTTTAAGGACGCACAAACTTTCACTTTTTCTATAAATTGTGCCTTTGAGGGACATTTTCAAACATACATAAATGATTCATCTTTTTTTTTAAACTACTTTGTTCACGACTGCTGTTGGCACAGTCCACAGCAGCTTCGTTTGAAGAGCCGAGAGCTCAAGAAGACATCAACTTACTGCAGTAAAAAAGTCAAATCCTGCAAGGTAGAAGCCTTTTCGAGTAACGTTTATCCATATATAAATAAAAGGTGAGCATTATGACCAACTCAGCAAGAGACCCCAACACTGTTTAATGCATTTACGATGCACATGCTGTATCGATGCTGTACATCGTTTCTACAAGAAGGAAAGAGGATACACCCCATTTCTGCAACAAATGCAGGTCTTTTAAAATATCAATCACTATAAGACACTGAGCTCGGCAGGACACAGAGTCAAACACTCAGACAGCAACTGGTGCTTGATGAGAATAAAAAAATAAAGCACATGTAATAACTCAAGCTTAGAAGTGTGTTTACATGGTGTCAGAGTGTAAAGTTTAGGTGAAACATGAACTTGTATTATATCCGCTATGAGCAAAGCACACACACAGCTGCTTGAAAGTTTGTGAACCCTTTATAATTTCTTATATTTCTGCATAAATATGACCGAAAACATCAGATTTTCACATAGGCCCTAAAAGTAGATAAAGAGAACCCAATGAAACAAATGAGAGAAAAATACACTTGGTCTTCTATTTATTGAGGAAAATGTTCCAATATTACATATCTGAGTGGTAAAAGTATGTGGACCTCTAGGATTAGCAGTTAATTTGAAGGTGAAATTAGAGTCAGGTGTCTTCAATCATTGGGATGGTGATCAGGTGTGAGTGGACACCCTGTTTGATTTAAAGGACAGGATCTATCAAAGTCTGCTCTTCACAACATGTTTGTATCATGGCAGGAACAAAGGAGATTTCTGAGGAGCTCAGAAAAAGAGTTGTTGATGCTCATCAGGCTGGAAAAGGTTACAAAACATCTGTAAAGAGTTTGGACTCACCAATCCACAGTCAGACAGATTGTGTATACATGGAGGACATTCAAGAACGTTGTTACCCTCCCCAGGAGTGATGGACCAACAAAGACCACGCCACGGTGTGGAATAGTTGGCGAGGTCACAAAGGAACCATGGGTAACTTCTCAGCAACTGAAGGTCTCTCTCACATCGACTGATGTTAAAGTTCATGAGTCCACCATCAGGAGAACACTGAACAACGATGGTGTGCATGGCAGGGTTCAAGGAGGAAGCCACTACTCTCCAAGAAGAACATGGCTGCTCATCTGCAGTTTGACAAAGATCACGTGGACAAGCCAGAAGGCTGTTGGAACAACGTTTTGTGGACGGATGAGACCAAAATAGAACTTTTTGGTTTAAATGAAAAGTTTTATGTTTGGAGAACATTCTTGCATAAGAACCTTATCCCATCTGTGAAACATGGTGGTGGCAGTATCATGGTTTGGGCCTGTGTTGCAGCACCTGGGCCAGGACAGCTTGCCATCATGAGCTATGTTTGCACAAAATTCTTTGACCAGATTGAAATGTTTTCAGATTAAATAATTCTAATGTATCGTTTACATGGGCACAATCTCTTCATGATGAGTGTTCACATGCAGCGGGCTTTTGGGCAGAATAGAAGTACTGACATGCGCAGAGTGGTAAAATGTCCTTACCAAACAACAGAAGAAGTTCTACTTCCAAGATGAACGTAAACAAACCCGAGCACCCAAAATGGACCTGTGCCAGGTTTTAATGATGGTGGAGACGTTACTGCACTCCCTGACTGAGCTGCAGGTAACACAGATCATTCTGAGCTCTTTCTAAGTTTCTAGTAGAAATGTTGTCGCTCACTGACAAGTTTTGCTTCCCCGACATGCTAACATTATTATTAGCATCTATCCAGACAGAAATAAGTGAGGTAGGCATAGGTCACGCATGCACAGTCGGGTCAGTTTTCCACATCGAAAAAAAAAATGAACAGATTAAGTGTTTACATGAACTCCGCTCAGATTATGAATCGGCATAACTGGCTGTGATTATCGTACCCACCACTGCACCCTCACTGGTTAACTGGACATCATTAACTTCACGCAGACTCTCTCACTGGTACATTTTCATCTTTAAATCACTTCTTGATCTGTTGCCTTCATACATCTCCTCCTACATGTCTCTGCGTGAGTGCAGCTACAGCGTGCGCTCTCAGGACATTATTACCTGCAGTGTTCACTCAGTGAGGACTGAACTTGGCAAAAGGGCCTTCTCCTATTCTGCTCCTGTTCCCTGGAATATCTTACAAAAAGATTTGAAGTTCTCGACCTTGACCTCTCTAAGCTTCAAACATCTGTTCAGTTCCTGGCAAAAAACAATGCAGACATGTTCCTGTTTATGGTTTTCTACACCATCCTACAACCCAGCTGTTTTTTGTTGTTGTTACGTTTTCTTTTAATTACCATTTTATTTTCACTTATAATAATAATAATAATAATAATAAAACAATCTCAATTTGTATGCATCCTTTATGCTGGTCTATTGTTGTCTTTTTTGTCCACTGTTGTCATCACTCTTTGTTAAAATCAGGTCTCTCTTATAAACGAGTCCCCGAGACTCAATGGGATTAACCTGTATAAATAAAGGTTGAATTAATAAATCGGCATAAACCACCCGTCTCATTCTGATAAGAAATACTTTCGGATCAAGCTGAATCAACAAAAATAATCCGAATGGGGCGTCTAATCCGATTACTGATGTCCATGTAGACATAACTATTGATGGAACAATGAATTCTGAATTATATCAGAATTCTACAGGAAAATGTCAGAACATCTGTCCATAAAATTAGTCTCAAGAGAAGGTGGGTCATGCAGCGAGACAAAGACCCTAAACACACAAGTTGTTCTACCAAAGAATGGTTCAAGAAGAGTAAAGTTCATTTTTTGGAATGGCCAAGTCAAAGTCCTGACCTTAATCCAGTCCAGATGTCGTGGAAGGACCTGAAGCAGCAGTTAATGTTGGAAACCACCAACACCCAGAGTTGAAGCTGTTCTGTACAGAGGAATGGGCTAAAATTCCTCCAAGGTGTGCAGGACTGATCAACAGTTACCAGAAACATTTATTAGTTGCAGTTATTGCTGCATGGGGGTGGGGTGGTGGTGGTGCTTTATTTGTAAACCAAACGATGCTGGAATGCAAATACCAGGGGGGTGGAGGTGTTGGGGTCCTCCCCGAGAATATCTGAATAAAGTAGATGCCATTTCCTGCATTCTAGTGTATTTTAATGTGTTGTTAAACATCTATGTTAACCTACATGAGTAAACATTTAACTCAATAACTATCTTAGAGCGCAACATGACCAAAAACTCTCTCCTCACTCTGCTTCTCTCAAGCATCCTAACACCTCCCCCACGCGTGTCGAGTACCATCTTTATTGCCACTACCTTCGTGTGCTTGTTGTTTAGTTGTACAATTACTTTTTTTAAAAATTGAAAGTAAATTGGACTGTCTTTCCGACATTTTGATTGCCGTTATCGACAAATTTGCGCCGCTGTTTTGAAACGTGACGTACGTCACGTGATTACCCAGCAAACATTACTCTCATTTTTTTAATAAATCAAAATTTTATTAATGACCCACTCAAAACTGAAAAACTGATTTGCAGTTTAGTTGTGCCGTTTAATTATATTTTTGTGTTTTTAATTAAATTGTCCATGACTCTACTTTTAGGGGCGGGTTTTTTTTTTTTAAGGGTAGAAGCAGAAATAATTACTTGAAGGAGCAGCTCTTATGTGATATTAAGAAGTTCATAAGTGGCTATGTTTAAAATTAGTGTTTATGTAATTACTTTCAGATTACATGTCCAATATAGGTTTTATTCTTCAGAGCAGTCAAATTTCTTCCATGAATTTACCGGAAGGCAACGTGTCAAAAACAAGAGTTACCAGTTCCTGTTCCGTCAGGATCCGACTCATTAAGCCCTGGTCACACCAGATACTGAAAACAAAGGTTCACACACTTTTGCCGTTCACTAGTATGTAATACTAGATCATTTTCCTCAATAAATAAAAGACCAAGTATAATATTTTTGTCTCAATTGTTTAACCAGGTCCTCTTTTATCTACTTTTAGGACTTGTGTGAAAATCTGATGACGTTTTAGGTCATATTCATTAGAAATATAGAAAATTATAAAGGGTTCACAAACTTTCAAGCACCACTGTACACTCAAGAGTACATACCACTGAATGTAGGAGTGAACCCTCTCCAGTCTTTTATAATCATTTTTCCAATCTTTATGAAACGATTCAATGTAGACATCTGTACCAAATGAGAGAGAAGACCCAGTGAGAACAAACCCAACGTTCACAAACACAGAAGAAATCTCGACAAAGAAACGTCATCTCTTACCGTCAGGGGAAGATGGAAACTTGTTCAGGTAAAATTGTAAATTGCTCATTTTATCCTCTGTGCACTCGTCATCAGTTAAATTCTGTTCAAACAAACAAACCCCATATTAATCCACTGGATACATTTTGGTGCAACTTGGATGTCCATGTTTCCTTACAGGATATCCTCTTCTGTAGTTCTGCATGTCCTTTGCTGCCCTCAGGTTTCTGGGCGTGTGATGCCACTGCACAAACAAAGACTCATAACGTGAACCAGTTGCTTTAAAGTGAAACATCGTTACATTAATGTTAAATGCAAAAACACGTTTCGTTGATCATAATGATGAAACAACCCGTTTCTCTGCTGGAACCGGAAAGATGACACAGTTTTGAAACATCGACGCCTAACGACAGGCGAAATTAATTTCTCACAACCTCAAAGGGAAACTATTAAAGGAAATAAAAGCTAAAGTCTAATTCATCTGTCATGAATTATAACTAGTCGTTGGAGACTTTGTCGTTTAGTCGTAACACAGAAGGTAAAGTAAGCTAACACCACTGGCTAGCTGGGCTAGCCTGGTCTGCAGCAGTGGACAGAAAGCTAAATGTTAGCTTTACATTAACTGGTGCAAAAAGAAACGAGATACAAGGCCTGGAAATATCTCGGTACGGTACAGTTTGGACCAACAATGAAAGCACGTACTAAAGCCCAAGACGGTTTGTTTTTGTCTAGATTTGACCGACGGGTCTTGCTCTCTCCGGCCGCCGGGTCGTCACCATCACTCTCGGTGTCCCAAGTCGAGTCGTAGTCACATACACAGTCGTCTTCCATTCTTACATTAAATTAAAAACATGTATTTTTTTTTACGGCTCACTGTAGCTGAGTAAAAGCGCAGTCCGAAAAGGGATGAATGAGGTTAAACTTTCATTGTCAGGTTAGATAAGGAGGGCCCAGAGCATCAGCCCACCATCATCGGGCAGCAGCAGATGCGCTATGCTAGCTGCAGCGCTGGTGCTGCCTTCAAATACTCCCGTCGAGTAAAGAAATTAAAATCCTTTGGATTACTCTACCCAGCAAATATACGTCACGTTACTTTTGGAAGCCATTTTTGTATTTGTTATAGAATACATATTTGTTTTTCAATTTTCAACATCTAAAATACATCCCACTGATGTGTTATATGACACTTTAATTCACTTTCTCTATTACGATGATGACAAATTTCCGATCGTCTATGAACGCAACACGGCGGCTGTGCTCTGTGCTGGCTGTAGGTGTTGAAACGCAAACCAGCTGAGTCAGACAGCTTTTATTAGGAACAGGAAGAATGATCTTCACCATGCTGTTACATAAAACAAACAGTGGTGGAGAAAGTACTCAAACACTGTACTTAAGTAAAAGTACAAATAAACAGACAAAAATGTACTCTAGTAAAAGTAGAAGTACCACGTTAACATTTTTACTTAAGTAAAAGTAAATAAGTACTTGCTTTTCAAATACTTAAAGTACTAAAAGTGCTTCCTGAAAGTATTACATAATGCAATAGTCTACATATATTTAAGTCTGCCTACAATATGTATATTTTCTGTAATACATTAATAGTGTTGTTCCATTTTAATGAACAATGCTGCAGATAATACATGTTTTTATTGTGTTTACTCTGTGACACAGTTCACTCTTGGACTTGTGATTCTGTGCGTCAGAATTTCAGGGATGACCTGCAGAGTTAAATACCATTAATAAAAAAAAAAGAAAGAAAGGAATGATTATACCTTTGAAAGTTTTTATTTAACACAAAGCAAAACCAATGTGTCATTTTAACTGCAGGAAAGTTGAAGTAAGTAAAAGTTGTCTGTCTGAACAAAAGGGGCGTTAGACACAACTAACAAAGGAACAGGCTCTGATCATTTCCACTGATATTTCAACTCCAGTTTGTCATCAACCAGTTAAACTACTGTCTATTCAACCTTGTAATGGGTCAATATTGAACAATATTTTAACTTCCTGACACTATTTTTAAAACTTGGACCCGAGTGTCGAGACATTTGGAGACATCTCTTGTCTCCTAACATCATGAACTGACACATTTTAATATTGCAGCAAGAATTTCTTGTTCAAGTTCAGAAGAAGTTGGTTTTCAAATATTTTTGAGTTCAGTCTGGCTCTTTTGGGAGACAGAATCTGTCCTGTTGTACTGAGCAGTCTTTCAATAAGGACATGGGTGGAGCATATCTTCTGGCTGACTCTCTTGCGGTGGAATACATTTTGGGTGTAGTGGTGCTGCAGGTGCACCCAGCTCAGTAACATATATACTAGAATATATGTCATTGGTCCAGCTCTTCTTGAAGGCGGGGCCTAATGTTACCTGCTCACTTTGCAGTGATTCAATGGACCAACTCCCCTCTCACCATTGGTTACTTTCAAAGTAACAAACAAATCAAAAAGCTGCAACATGAATGTAACTTGTAATGCAGCGCATTATAGAAATGTAGTGTAGTAGAAAGTACAGATACTTGATGTAAAATGTAGTGGAGTAAAAGTGTAAAATACCCACATTTAACTTTATTTAAGTAAAGTACAGATACATGAAAAATGTACTTAAGTACAGTAACAAAGTATTTGTACTTAGTTACATCCCACCACTGAAAACAAACAAACAAAAACAACAAAATTACCATGACAAATGACTGAATTTTACTTAATGAAGAGATATGCCCCACATACAGTATACATGCCAAACAAAGCCTACTGCGAAAGAGTTGTTCGCGCAGTCATCCAGGTACAGCAACAAAAAAAGGTTAAATGACACGATTTAACCGTTTTTGTTTTGAAAGTTCAAGTCAAGTTCAAGTTCAAGTAGGTTTTAATTGTCATTCGCATCACATGTGGTACATGAGGTGGAATGGAATTGTGAACACAGGGTCCCAGTTACATCCAACAACAGCAAAAATATAAAGTGTAAAAATAAACAGTAAGAATCTAAGATATGAGCTAAGAAATACGCTAAACAATGTTGCAAAACAATACGCCGAACAACAGCAGCATGAACATGGGTCTGTGTGAGTATGAGTTTGAATGAATACAGCAGCATGAAATAACCAGCAGCATGAGATCAGCAACATAGATAATCAGCAGCACACATCACCAATCAAAGTGACATTACAGTGATTTTTTTTTTCTTCAAATTTATAATTCTGGTTAGAGATTCATGAGTCTAACAGCTTCAGGGTAGAAGCTGTTCCTCAGTCTAGTGGTTCTATAATTAATGATCCTCAACCTCCTTCCTGAGGGGAGCGGGGCTGATGTGTGTGCTGGGTGAGTGGGGTCCTTCATGATGCAGGTGGCCCTCTTCCTGCATCTGGAGGTGTAGATGTCTGTGATGGTGGAGACTGACTCCAACAGTCTTCTGTGCAGCCTTCACCACTCTCTGCAAAGCTTTTCTTTCTGCAGCTGTGCAGCCTCCATGCCACACGTTGATGCTGGAGCACAGGATGCTCTCCACTGCACACCTGTAGAAGGAGGTGAGGACTGAGCTTCCCAGACCAGCTCGTCTCAGCTGCCTGAGGAAGTAGAGTCTCTTTTGAGCTTTCTTCATCAGGCTGGTGGTGTTGTTGCTCCAGCTGAGGTTAAAGCCCACTGTGGTTGAAATGTATAATAGTACACGTGGTGTGAGATTTGTAAACATCTGAACAAACTAGTGAAAACCAAACTTTGAACAATAGCAACAAGAACAATAATAATAATGATGATGATGATGATAATAATAATAATTGTATGCTGGTGTCAAATAACCTAATGTGGTATGCACATATGATAAATGACAAATATAATGATTTTATTTTATTTTACCAATTCTCAGAGTTTTCATCAACATTAACCCAGAAAAGTTGAGATTTATTTCTTAAGAAAAGCATCGTCATTTAGGAGAACCACTTCACAACTGGCAACTTAAGTGAAAAACTTTTGGTGATCTGCACAGAGAGGGGCTTCAAATGTTTCACATGTAATATGTTTCACATATATGTTTCATGTGTTTCACATATATAAACGTGTGTTCGTGTGTGTGTGTGTGTGTGTAAGGGGAGAAGGGTATCAGTTGTCAACTGAAACATGGCTGAAAACATATATGAATATAAAAAAAAATCTATATCTCTATATCTATATCTATATCTATACCTATATCTATCTATATTTATATGTATACTGACATGCTGAGATATACCGTATATTAAATGTGTTATATGTACAAAGTATATATATATATATATATATATATATATATATATACATAATGGTGGTAGAGAGGATAGAAAAGATGGGCCTGTGATCGGAAGGTCACCGGTACGACTTCTGAGACCGACAACATCAAAATGTGGGTGGAAAAGGCGAAGCACCCACACTTACTGTAACTCCATCCTCATTTGCCCCACCCTGTGCCCTTGAGCAAGGCCCTTAACTCCCACCATCTGCTCCCCCAAGCACCCTAGATGGCAGCTCTTTGCTGCACACTGAGGGCTGTGGTAGCTCGGTGGTCTGAGGCGACCCCTGAAGAAGAGATCAGCTAAAAAAGGAAAAAGAACACACAACACCCCCCCCCCCCCCCCCACACACACACATTATATAAAATTCTCATTCATTTCTATCAGCTGCTCTTGTATAAATTATATATGTATTGTATATTCTAATGTATCAGTTGCAGAAGTCTTTCCAGTGATTACTTTCTGTGAGTTTCATTCACATCTGTCAAGTGGTTCATGGGATATTTTGCTAACAGACAAACAAACACATGCACACTGACACGTGCAAAAACTCTTTCTCTGCTTCACCTTTGGCTGATTAAAAAATACACCATCATTTTTAATAACATTTTGCGTTCCGTAAGTTGGGTTTTTGTGTGCTAAAGGTAAAGTTAAGCATTTTTTAGGACATTTTAAGAACATCCAGTTAATACCAGATCAAAAGAAATAATTTGAGCATAGTTTGTACCATGAAACAACAATGTTTGGACATTTTCCAGATAGACTTGACTCATGTCAACATGATTCACACACAAACACTCCTCTTTTATTTATTGCCAGATCTTCTTCCAGGTATGTTCAGAGGCCTTTAAGCAGTTTTCCTGTTTGAAGCTTTAAGGACCAGCAGCAGAAACCAGATATCAAAGGTGGCAGCTGATAATTGGACCATGTTATCCATCTTTTGACAGTAATTGGACTGATGCATTTATACATGAGCTGATTGCACCATTAGATGGTATAAATAGAAGCGCGTGTTATCTCAGAGTTGAAAAGATGCTGGTGTGGGTTACTATTTTTGTTCTTTGTTACTGTGGTAACCAGTGGGCTCTGCAGGCATCCAGGACTTGCTGGTATTTTGTGCTTCTGCTTCAAATTCACGTCTGTTTTTTCTGTGAATTTATACAAATAAAAAATGTTTTTTTTTTTAGCAAACAAATAAGTTATTAAAATGACTGTAGAGGGTTTAAACTCAATTTGCCTGCAGTTTCTACTGATTTAAAATGAAATTATTAACTTTAGGATAAGCTTAAAACCATAAACATCTCTTATGTGAGCATGTGGTTTGCCTGTCTCAAAAAGTTTTCAACAGTATGTTTTTATTAAAAATATTAGATACCGCTGATTGTGATTAAAGTCGTAAAGGTGTTACTGCAGCATCATCCATAAGAGTCCAAACTAGCAGCATTACAACTAACTGAACAGTGTTTTTTTTAAAGCAGCCATGTTTCACTGGCTCACAGAAGGATAAAGATGTGCAATAATATTTCTGCTGTGTCTGTTTGTCTCAGCAAAATATCTTATGAACCACTGGACAAAGGTTCATGGAACTTGCAGGAAGTATTTTGAATGTACAGCTACAAGTGAAACGACTCCAAAGGTAAATCAAAGTCTTTGGTGTCTATTTATGGCCTTAGCTTGTAAGGCAGCAGGTGATAAGTTCATTTAGAAATGAGAGTGTTTTTTCTTCCGTCAT